TCAACAGAATGCACAAGGGAATGTCTCGGGAATCCTGGAACTACAAAGGAATTTATTCACTTAAGTAGCAAGCTGCTTGTTCTCATTTAGCTAAAAGGAAGAAAAGAAGAAATAACCCAACGCTGTTAGCAATGAAACGTGTTTCCTAGTCTGGCAGAACTGTTTGCCCAGATCGTATCTTATTTTTTTCTAGCTGCTTAGTACAGCTGAAGAGTCTTTTCACTTTCTGTGAAAAAAGTTGCCAAAAGATCACACTGACAAAAATATTTTTTTCAGTAAAAGAAATGTTATGAAATGATTTACATGCATTCCTCACCTTTTAAAAGCGTGTATCTTTACCTCTCTGGGCATTGCTCATCGTTCTTAAGGCCAGCAAATATGAAGACTACTGAATCACAATCTGTTACCATCAGAAAGTTTATATATTCAGCTATATTCTAAATGTTACTAAATAGTAACTACAACAAACATTACCTGAACTCTGTTAAGAATTTTAAAATTAACAATTTTAACCCAGGTCATTTGTTACTCATAACTGATGCACAGAATAAAACAATTCCCAGTAACTGCTTAGTGCACTACTGGAAGGCACCCAGACACTATGCTGGTGACCACAAAATAAAAGCGTTTCTTTTAAGAAGCATTTCCATATTTACATACCTATTTTGGTTTATATTTACCCCGAGCCCCATTTTTAACAGAACACGCACCCATAAATCTCTCAGGTTGTCCTAAAACCCTTGAATAGATGAACGACGGTAATACGGATTGTTCAAATGAAAGCTTTATTCGGCATTTTCATATAAACTCCACTTCAAGAGCTTGCAATATTTTGTAATTGCAACTGAGAAGCTGTTAAAGAGAAACCAGCTATTTAACTTTGCAGACAGTACTTACAAACTAAAACAAGCGCTCTTCAATCACCCCGCTGTTCTTCACTGTATCTTCAGTTAAGCAAGCCATTAAAATCCACTGTCTTCAGCCCATGGTCTGTATAATGCTGTCTGCTGGTTTTTAACGTAGGCTATTTCTGCTTTTACAAGTAAAATCAAATCTGCGTTTGCTGACACTCTCTGGGAATCCTCTTGGGCAAATTTAGCCTTTTTCAGCTTATTATTTGCAACACTTTTTGCTTTGTACAGAAACTTTTGTTCAAGCTATATCCCAAAACATTTCACAAAGCTACATTTGTTAATCACACAAACGGCTAACACGATTTCTAATTTAAATAATTTAGCGGGTAGAGGGTAAGAGGACTTAAGAGGTAGATACAAGAGAGACTGAAGAGAGACGGCTGACAAAACAGAACCAAAGGGTTGCCGCAGCAGAGAGCAGAAGGTAGACAGACAGCTTTTGTACCAACAAGCGAAAGGATTTCAGGGCTGCAAACCCCGTAGGAGGAATGGAATGAAATCTGTCGCAGGAAAACGAACTATCAAGAAAATCAAAAGAGCACATGTAGTCGGTCTTGAAATAGCTTGCGTGTTGTGTGAAAATAGGTAAGGTTGTACTTCTTCAGGGCATGACGCAAACAGGCAGCAGAAGCGCTCGGCACAAGCTGGGATCTGGAAACACGGTGGCCTACGTAAGACAACGTGAAGCTTTCCGGAGAGCTCAGTAGCGCAGGGGGTAAGGTGAAGGTGGACGCTAGAAACGCGGCACAGCGGTGATACGTAGATTTGCATATATAGGAAAGATGGAGGAAGACGGTTTGAGGAAGACACTAATAATAAGTTCTAAAAAGGGGAGGCACAACTCAAAAAGCAAATCAAGGAAACCAAGCAGCATGAAAAGTTTTTTACTCCCTTTCTGAGATGCCAAAATATGCACTGAAATAACATCATTGGGGGGGGGAGGGCGAGAAATGTTTTTACACATGCACAGGTTAGTGAATTTAACTCAGATCCACGTCATGACCAGGCCTCCCACCTTCTAAATCTGAATATTGGGATTGGATGATGCTGCAGCACAGATTTTGTCTACGAGGGTCAAACAAAAAACAAACTTTACCCTATTGGGAAAGTCTGGATTTCAATCTACAAATTCCCAGGTGAAGGGTTAAAATTTGGCTTAGCCTAAATAGGAACTAGGATTATCCGATAACCTGGGTCAAATCGAGCAGGTCTCCGCACAGGTCCTGGCATAACAAACATCATTTTGGTCCAAGAAAAGAATTTTCTTTTTTAGCATATGCAGTATGTTTGCTTCTAAAAGCATCACCAACTTCAGGCAGGCCCTACTGTAAAAACACGCACACCAAAGATGAGCATCCTGTACTGCAAAGCTCTTCTAAACCGACAAGACAGGTGAAAGATGAGGCAAGGAAACAAAAATACAGAGCAGTGAACTGACATGCTCAAAATCACACAAAGGAAATCATCATCAGAAATTGCAGTGACTCCCCTTCTCTCCAACTCTCCTTCTCATATTGCTAATAATGTCTATGACAGCCTATAAAACCAAGGATGTAGTCCTCACTCAAGGAGCTCGCAATAAAAGCAGGCAAGCAGATAAAAACATGCAGCGTGACAGAAAATGGGTTAGTCAGCAAACAAAACACTCTTCTGCTGAAAACACTGTTCTTCTGAAACAGTAAAAGGAACATTCCTTTGTCAGCAGCCTGTGCAGCCCAAGGAAGGATTAGCAGATGAGGAGCGTAACTGTGGTAATACCTAGAGGATTCCTACGGCAAATTCCAAAGGCAGAAGATTTTGCAGGGAGATAGCACAGAAGGGAGAGAGATCTGTGCAGAACAGATGTCCTGGAAAAGCAGCGTCTGCCTTAAATCTCACACAAGACAGTATTTTTGTATAGAAGAGAAAATATTTGGTTTAGATACACAATAAGGATAAGGAATGACAGCACGGTGCAAAATTAAACAGTGGCTTTGGATATATCAAATTTGAGTCAACTGGCCCTTATTATAATTTACACTTAGGGACAAAGAATAAACTGGTCTCTCCTCAAACTGACTTTCAGAGGTAGTGGGGAGCGAAGCGCTGTATTTCTTTGTGAAATGCAGGCTTCAGAAGTCACATCAGCAAAAGCAAGCCTACCGTACTTAAACCAACTTTACTAGCAGTGAACAAAGAAAACATTTAATCTTTCTGCGTAATGTGAATACTTGTTTTGGTTTGTCCGTTAAACACAGTACTTGACAAAGATCTTTGGTTCGTATTACAACTAACAGCAGCTCCTCAAGGAAACAAGTTTTGAACACTTATTTTCAGATGTTTTTAGACATCTGCTTGAGCAATTTAGTTACAGGTATCTTAAATCACTGCCTATGACCACTTCAATGGGACAAAACATTTTTAAGGAAAGATGCGCCACTAAAAGAGGAAAGACGTCCTCCTCAGAGGATATTAAAAGTGCAGCCCACAAAAAAACTATACTACTGTATAAAACTGTACTAATAAACAATAAAATCATTTTACAGAGATCATAAAGAAATTAATATACTTTAGGCTTGGAGTAACAGAAGCAGGATGAGTACAGCGGTACAAAACAAATTTGTAAGAAAAAAAAATTATCCTTGAAAGGAAAGCATGATCAGCTGTTAACTCAGCAGTTGGCAATGGCAAAGGAGCAGAAAGAGCTAGTTGTACGGGCAAATCACAGGGCACCCACGGCAGACAGCATGATGCAGTCATGTGAAAGGCTAATGTGGTTTAGGGACGTAGCAAAAGTTATTTCCAATACGCTAAGGAAGTATTAGTGACATCACACGTGGCCTTCATCTTCCTTGAACACTGAGCCTAGGCAAACTCAGGCTGGAATGGATGAAGAGAAGTGCTGGTGGAGCACTGAAGGTCCTGTCACACAAGGACGCTTTATGTGATTCAGAAAAGATGCGACGGATTCAAGAGGAAGAAAAGCTGCTTAGCTGAAGGGCAATGCTTGTGTTAGTTGGGAGGAAATGAGTGTAAACTGGTCACAAACACACGGAGGCTTCAAGTTAGAGCAGGCTCCTAGCTGCTGGAGTAATGTTTAAATAAGAGTAAGAACAAGACCTGAAAAATCTGCTTTTTAAGAAACCTGACAACCTCTCCTCGGTAGAAGGGACATTTCTGTTCCAGCCTTGCATGTGAGGTCCTTCATGCAGAGTACACGTTGTACATCCCTGCATCTAGGACTGTGAGAGCATCCAGCACGCATCCTGCATCTCTAAATGACAATCCAGGGCTAGATATTACAGGAAACTTTCAAGTTTCTCAAAACAAACATCAGAAGAAATATAACCACCCTGATTAAGCCAAAGAAACACATGAGATTAAATGCAATACTTAATTCTCTTCTACACACAGAGAAAACGTCGCAGAACAGAAAAAAGGACTTCAGCTTCCTTTGTAATACATGATAAACCAGATTTCCTGTCTTGTACTCCTTCCTCCGCTGATCTGACAGATTAACAGTTGTTTTCTCAATGAAGTTCAAGCTCAGCAGTTACCAGCTCTATTTTGCCGTAGCTGGACTCTGACAACTGTCTTAACTGCACCCTCTGTTTTTGACTTAGACTCTCCTGAACAAAACATTGTGAGCTTTAGAAATAGAGACATATTTTGTAATGGATTCATGATTTGAACCTTTATGGTCCACTGTTTGATACCTAGAGAAGCAGTAAGCGTAGCTGTATTCTTACGCAGCCAATGAATCTTGATGATGCTAAATGCAGACCAATCCCACCATCAAATCTACGATCCTTAAGAAAATGTCCAAGCCATCTTGGACAGTACAGCCATCAGCTCTACTTATCCATCTTTTGCCTTCCTCTCCTATGGTACTGAGAGTGATGAAGCTTCAATACACTTAGCCCCTCTCAGCTTTGCGAACACTGCAACTATTCAACGCACTCCTTTTATCAACAGACAAAACCCATCAGCCTCAAAAAGCGTGCTGTGTGCTGTAGCAGGGCCAGGTCTTTGGAATATTCTTTCATGAAAATATCAGGCAATTGTTTTTTTACAGGGAAAGAGACAAAAAGAAAACAAGACCAAAAAAAGAAAACTTGATGTGTAAAAAGGAAGCAGAATTCAAGTAGAGACAATAGTAAAGCAAAATACAACAGGAAGACACCACAGAAATATCTAGTCCTACAGGGGGTGGCTCTGATGCTGTTACTAAAAGTTAAGATTCAACAGGTTTAAATCTTCTGCAGAGGTTTACTACATTTATCATGCATGTACACAAATAATTTCTTTCAGAACATTATTTGAAATGAGTGGCACTGATGTGACTAACTCCTCTAAAAACAGCTTTCAGATGATCTATTTGAAATGTTGGCACTCTCACCACCTACTCTTTTGCAAGCGATTAGCCAAAGGTTAGTAAGCACAATCTTTTTACTCATTAGTTGGGAAACTACTCCACATAAAACAATCTTGGGGGATGATTTTACTCTCTAGTACATGCCATTGATTCAGTTCCTCTGTAAAAATAAAAGGTCTGCATCATTTTTGCCAGATTAAGGATTACTACATTCTCCCGTACTTAGAAAAGGAGTAAAAAACCTTACACAATGTATTTAAAACAGCATACATAGAGCAAATTGAACTTAGATGGCATGGTTAAAATAAAACCCAAATGTATTTACAATATTGCATAAGTAATATAACACAAACTTCCATTCCAAAATCAATCACATCAAAATAAAATAAAAAAATATTACAACTCACATATGTTTTAATACCTATAAATCCTTAATTTCTATCCAACATTTTCTTTATAAAAGCCTGTTTAAAATATTAAACTTTTGATTCACTCTAGCTTAAACAGAATCTAAAATTATTTGTTAAGTATTACTGATCACTTAGTCTTTGTCTTAAGTTTCTAGATTTCCCATTTTCAAATTTCCTCTTTTTAAATGTTGGCACCCCTTCTGTCAGGTCTCCAAGGGAGGTGACTGTCTTCTCTTTAAATATCAGTGTCGCATCTTCTGGAACCTCTAGCACTGGAGGTGGTAGATTGTCACTCTCTGTACTAGGAAGCTCCAGGTCCACTTTTTCACTGGGAGAAGAGAGGAGAGGAAAACATAAAAGGGTCAATCTACATGGAGAAAACAACATGGTGTACTGCAGACAGTAACATCCATATTTGTCAAAGCAGCTTTGAGCTAGATGCAGTCTTCTAGCCAAGATCATCATCATGACAGGGATCAAGAAAAAAAACATGTTCTTTTGTTTCTTCTGTGTGGGCTGGTATGAAAAGTAAAAAACTAAGACCTCATTCTCTACAGAGCTTATACCATGGCCCAAGCACTCATCATGAAAACAGTCCTGCGAAAGACAACAGGGCTGCATGTGTGTAAATCTAAGAACGTTGGAAGACAGTAGTCAGTGAGTAATTAGCAATGGTTCACTGCCAAAATGCTGTCGAGTAGTTTTCTGCAGGTGTCCGTCCTTGAGGGTCTGCATGACAGAACAGAGAACAGGCTTACAAAATCAGCCACTGACCCCAAGTTGGGAGAAGCAGCTCTGGAGGACAGGATCACAGCTAATACTGATCTGAACAAATCAAAGTCATTGTGTAAAAATGACCAACTGGTTTTAGGAAGTCAACAGCAAAACACTGTATTCTACAAGAATAACCTGTGGCACAAACATACGATGGAGAACAACCAAACAGTTCGCAGAAAATGATCTAAATCACAAGTCCATCAGGAATCACACCAGCATAACACTACTGCAAAGAGATACGCATTGTTCTCCTGGCCGATCCATACAAGAAATCTTTCAGTATTACTGAGTGTTAGTCTGATGTCAGCTCAGTTTCAGGTCCTATGCTTCAAGGAAGATATGGATCAGCTCAAACACCCAAAAAAGAGCCATGAGAATGACTGCAAGTCAAGAAAATACGACTGCTGCAGTATCCCTAAAATGTAAACTTCCTGAAAGTGGTTGGCACTGTGCCTAGTCTCAATTTAAAGTAAATAATGAACAACTGCATTTGTCTCATTTACATGTGTGTATATATCAAGCCTGTGTGTTAATGTACAGACTGAGACATAAGGTTCAGTAGCTGAAAGCACTTTTTATTGGACAGTGCTTTCCAAAAACCTGAAAGAATTTATCAGCTCTGGAGTCAAGGAGTGGTTAGCTGGTCCAATACAGGAGGTGTTACATGAACTGATCAAGTGATGTTATCATCTCCAAGGAAGTGTATCAGTGCTTAATTTAGTTCAAACAGTGTCAAAACTGTATCGGCTGAAAAATTTGGAACTAAAATGCTGGAGAATGGGGTGAGTATGAGGGAAAAGACTGATTTCATTCTCCTAATTTTTCCAGATTCATAGAGTTCCCCATAACAAAAAACTGGCCATAAAAGACAGCATGCTTCACAAGAAAAAGAGCCATCTCAGGCATTATGCAGTAAAACAAAACAAAAAAAACCCCTCCTGATCAGATGCATATCATGAAAACATCTGCAGTACATCAGCTGGACATGGGAGAGAGAGACAGCTTCCAGATTTAAAATTGGCATAACTAGATTACATGTTTTGTCATTCATCTTATTTAAATCATTACAGGAAGTGTCTCACACCACATTATAAGAGCCTCCAGGACTTACCCATAGTGACAGCAGAAAAGGTTGTAGTGGATTTTGTTTTGTTTTTGCTTAACTTTGTTTTCAAATGAGGGAAATTAGGGAACAAGAAAAACAGTTCAACCAGAAGTCTTGTACTGCAATACTGGGTGAAAGTAAGACAAAAAATCTGAAGTGTCTTTTAGGCTGTGTCCTTCAAGTGAACAGTTAGAGTCAGTACAACACCACAAAGTGAGAAATAATTCACTGCTTGTGGAAGTAACTCAGCCAAACATACGGGGCTTGGGTAGAAATGGCTCGGAGTCTAAAAAAGCATACTCATTATGTCAGCAACTATTGATCCCACAGGGAAGGAATTCAAAGCAATGCTAACCCAGTACAATCAAGATCAGGTTGCTGCTGGCCCTGGAAGATCAAGATAGATCTTGAACTCCAGGCAGAGTTAGCCCAACTAATTACTCATCAGAAAGAAACAGAATTTAGCCTGGAAGCTAGAGGCCCTGAGAAAGCTGCCTATGCTGTTCCAAAGCTGGAAGCAGTTGAAAAAACAGTCACAAGAGCTCCTGAGGCAGCTGAACCAGATTGTTGAAGGAGGCAATGTTAAGGAACATAAGCTTAGAGTAAGTACATTTAAACAGTTGATACTCAGCCTCCGAGAAAAATGATGATGACAACTATCCCTTAAATCACTTTAATTGACTTTGTACTCATGGTGAACTTCTACACTAAAACCAAAACACCACCACTATCTGTCATGGAGAGCTATTACCTAAAATAATCACTGCGGAAAGAACTGTATTTGGGCTACGTTTCCAATCACTGCTGTGCTAATTCTGCTAGAATTCAGCAGAAAAAGCTTCAGCTCTGAAAACAAGTATTCTGGAAACAAATATTATGAAAATAACTACGGCAGAAAGATCCTCACCATGGTTCTTCCTCTCCTCCTTCTTCTTCTTCTTCTTCCTTAATTGCTTTCCATTTTCCGTACGGGTTGGTCTTGTTAGGTGCATCACTGGAGGTTTCTTGGGAAGCTGACGTACTCCCCTCTTTATCAACAGTTTCTTCTGGCTTAACTTCTCTCCATTTCCCGTAAGGACTTAACTTTTTAGCTTTGGGAGATTTTTTCCCTTCCTCTGATTCTTCACCATTACCTCCTTTCCTCTAAAGAGGAAAAAACCCACCTTAAGCAAAAATGCCTAAATAAAAACACAATGTAGCTTTATTTTACATCTTCTATTTACTATTATCTACTATTCATACTTTTCAACCAAGAGTAACTTGAAACAATAAACTCATACTGTAAAAAAATCTTTAAATTTCTCTCCTTGAGCTTTCATCGCATGCAGAGTTGAAAAAAATCTTAAATGTTACAAAAAGTTAAAGTTGGAAAATCCCATCTATCAAGGCTGAAGTTAGCAAGGAGTAGGCAATAAAAACTTACTTAAAAACAAAGCTTAGCATGTTTAAAAAAAACAGAAAGAGGCAAAAATTCAATGCATGTAGATACACACACTTTACTAGTAGTAGTTTATAATGATGCACGATAGAAAAATATATATTTTAGAATTAACACCTGTCTATGAATACATTTTACATTTAAACTGTCTCTGTGTGTTCTGAACTACCAGTTTCAGAAACAACATCTGACCCAACCAGAGGCATAATCACACCCTTTAAGTTTTAAATCTAAAGACAAAAATATATAATTGATACAGGTTTTGTACCATGTGCTGCTAATGTTTTTCTCAATTAATAAGGAAACTACAACCATGTCATTTTCAGTCAAAGGCATTCCCTGAAGGTCTCTTGGCAGTCACATTTACCAATGAAGGTTAGAAGTCTCATCCTCACACTGAAACCCAAATCATTTTGTGGATTATTTCAGAGAGATGACAGTGACCTTTCTCAGAGAACATCACATTTCCTGCAGAATTCAATCTACTTCTGGTGGGCTGAAGGAAAGATGATGCTTTCTATTCTGGAACAGTGCCACTAATGGGCCAAATAACTGAATAAAGATTCATTTTACTATTCAAACAAGCGCAAACTTCTACTTTGACTCATATGGTTTAACCTCATTACAATGAGTACAGCCTATCACAAGAGAGAAAAGATAAATCATCTTATGCTAGAAAATTAATACTGTATGTAAAATAAATCTGAAGAGAGAACTTACCTTAAACTTTGTTTCTGAACTCCGTGCTTCATTTTCACTATCTTCCGAGTCTGATTCAGACGCTTTGGAATCTGTTTCTGCAAGCTCTTCAGAATGCTTCTCACGTTGACTCTTATTTGAAGATGAAACAAAACCATCCGGTTTCTCCCACGTGGATACTGTCCAAGATATTTGAATAACCACATTATTTATGTTTTTAATTCTGATCTGTTACTGCTTTGACAACATTACCTTTCAGAAGCAGTGCTGCCTTATGCAAAAATACAGCAAATAATTTAGCACCAGGCTTTTGCCTTTGTTCGGTATGTTTGTTTTAGTAAACATAATCAGAAAGATAACGTTTCACTTCTCAGCCGAGATACTGTCATGACAGCTGAGTTCACTGTTGATAAAGCTTGTCATAATTAGCGCTTAAGAAAAATATCATGCACAGTAAACTGCAGTCCACAAGACTGTGGTCCCTCTCATCCTAACACAGGACAGACAAACTGCCCTCTAGAGGTGCCTATTTGATTTGAGTTGTCCGTTGATTACGAAGACAGGATAAGGTAAAGAACACTAACTGCAAGCCTCAGCTCTCCAGGCAGATAAACCCCTTCCCTGTGCTACTTGGCTCAGTAACATTAGGTCTCTAAATTAAATCTCTAATTTAGATCTCTAAAATTAAAGAGCTGTCAAGTAAACAAGGAAATACAAACACTATTCTGAAAAGACATGAAAGTATCTACAGGATATGACCTCATTTTCAATGAGAAGGTAGTATTCCAGCAAATATATTGAGAGGAAATATTTAAATAAAAGTTGACTCAGTGGTCTTAAAACTGCTTTTAGTAACAATAAGGCAAAAGTACACCAACTTTCAATCTATAATTTTATTTAAGCTTTCAAATGTAATAAACCTACTATTTTTCCAATTATTTTATCTATTTCCAAAGAAAACCCTAACTGAAAACAACGTTTAACAGGTATGCTTCTAGATGTATCTTGAAGAAGTAAAGGTGTAAGACTGGCAACGAGTGGCTTTGAACAAACAAACCAGTCTCTTAAGGGTACTGCTGTCATGTAGCTTTAGACCAGTAACTGAGAAAGTTCACTTTCCTAGGTGTCACATATAGCCAGTGGAGTAAGGTGCAGCCTCCCAAAGTATGACTCATAGCAGGAGCTAAGCCTAGAGATACCGGCCTCTTAAGTTACATGCTTCAGATGAGACACTACGATCAGTCTCCTCGGTTAACAATTTGTCTTGTCTTCAGAGGATGGGATTAGCGTTAACAGAACTGACAAGTAATTTTCAAGCGTTTCCAAGATACTTGCAGCTATGTAAAAGTAAGGGATCGCTTTAAAATCTCACAAGCCAAAATTTTACCAAATACAATGATTACAAAGACATTCTTCACGAGTGTCATGTGTCCATGAAGAACTTTAAAAAACAATACAACCAAAGGCATAAAATGTATCTGAACTTACAAGGCAATGTTTAAAAATAACCAGCATCTCATTTCCCTTTCAAAAGAAAAAAAAAAAAAATCGCAAATCATTTGAGCAGGGGAGTGGCATGCTGAAAAACGGAAAGGTTTTGGGTTTTTTTTTCTATTCTTGGCATCGTCAGGAATGCCACTTCATACCCAACAGCAGAAGGAAAACTCTCAAAAGAAAAAAAAAAAATCGCAAATCATTTGAGCAGGGGAGTGGCATGCTGAAAAACGGAAAGGTTTTGGGTTTTTTTTTCTATTCTTGGCATCGTCAGGAATGCCACTTCATACCCAACAGCAGAAGGAAAACTCATAGCCAGCATAAAATCACTTGCTCTCCAGAGAGGCATCATTGACCTTAAAATGATTCAAACAGATTTAGAAAACAGATGCCTGCTCTGGGGGAGTTACCACAAAGTTCCCCATGTAGGAAAAAAACGGGGAAAAGAAGTAGGAGGTAAGAGTCTGGACTCTCTTATCAACGCTATGTCAGCAAGAGGAAAAGTTTAGGAGATTCTTATTCAGTCCTACATACTTGTGAAAACAAAATCCTGCCCCTTTCTGGTTTCCAAACTGTAATTTCAATATATATGTAGAGAAGAACCACCCATATTTTAGAGTTACAAGTTGAATGTCTAAAAAAACCTATGAAGCACAAATGCATACACACTGACAATACAGCTATAAAGCCAGCATTGACTTAAGCAACAAGTATATTTCAACTAAGGTAACAGATTAAAAAATACAAAACTCAGTAATGGCCTTAAAATGCAGTTATTTGCAAAATAAAATGCTGCTCTGAAAACCCTCTCTTCTGAAACAGCTTAACTGGAAAACAAGCTCTCCTTACCTCCTGTTTGTGTGTTATAGTAATAGGTATGACCATCTTCAGTGACACCTTCTACCCACTCTGCTGCCTGAGAAAAAGATTCAGGAGCTAATTAAAAAAGAGAGTTTTAAGGATCAGCCAAAGCATCACTTATAAGACTATTCAACCCTTGAGTATTTTTTTTCATGATAATTTTACTGTTTTAAAGCTTGAACCCCTGAAGTTGTTAGAAAGTATCCCCTTTGACTCAAATGAGATTGAATTGCTTAACTTAAATGTACCACAAATGCACAGACAATTTTTTCAAACAGTGGATAATTAGTATGAGACAGTATAGTGAAGGTTGCCATACCGTTCAAATTATGATAAAAGCCATAAAAGCCATTATTTTACATGGTTTTTATTTTGCAAAGCATTCACACCTGAAATTGACATTTCCTATTTTTTGTCATTGTCTTCAGTAGAGACCAAGAAAAAATTTCTCTGGAAGACTCAGGGTTTTGTGAGGGCTATACAAAAACAGTACCAATAAATACTATCACAAATTAAACATAAGCAAACAAACCCGAAACTTCTAAAATTTGTTCCAAAATAGATCTTCACCAAAAGTATTGCAGAAGCAAGCTTTGCAGGAATGCATGCCTTTACTTACTGAGTAAAGCACCGATTTCAACAAAGCACTGTTTTTCCCTACTAATTAATAAATACATATGAAATGTGGCAGAAGTTGCTGGTTATGTCTTTTGTGGATGTGTAATTAAAATAAAGATCTTTTGCAGAATCAGCCACAGCTAGATAATCAGTCATTACACGTGACTTAACATCTTCCTTAAGAACCTGATTTTCATCAACACTTACACATACACCACTTCACAGCTCCTAAGTACTAACACTGCCCATTCCCCTGTACCGAGCAGAACTTCTATGCAGCTTCACCATACATGATTTTTGCATTAATAAATGTCTCTATGTGTACACATATACACACACACCCCTAGATAGGCTTCTGCACACACATACCTATGCATTTGCTTAATACTCTATTATTAAAACTTTGTGCTTTTTTAAAAAACACAAAAAAATCAGGAGTTAAAAGTTCTCACACCTGCTCTATAGAAAGCTATATATGAAACAGAAAAATTGTATCAGTAGGTTCAGAGCAGGCAAAAAGCAAGAAAGCCTTCAGTGAGCAAGTTTCCTCAAGGTTTTGCTCTCAAAAGTTTCAGTGTGCTAGTTTCAACAAAAGAAGCAAAAGGCAAATTTATTTTATGTAAGTAGAAAGAGGACAAAAGGCTAGTCTTAAGTACAAACTGCCCTTTTTGTTAGAGTTAGATCCTGAACATTTTAGACTTGGTTCTTAGAGGTTTTCAGCAGATATTTGACATCAGGCACACTGAGTATCCTACTGCATAAATGCTAACAGGCATGATGTCAATCTAACCGAAGTTGTAGGTAGTCTTCAACATGTCTTTTCATTACTCTGTTCTCTCCACCTCTTACGAAGTCTGAGCAGCAAGCTAACAACATGCTGTAAAACAAGGAGGGCCTGTGAATCTCACTTGCACTACATATTGCAAGCATGCCCTTTAATTTCTGGGCAGAGTGAGTCCTTGTTAGAGATCTCGAACGTTCCCAATATCTTTAGCTCAGACTAAATAAGGGAGCGATCAAATGCTTTTTTTTTAGCAATAGCAAAAATAACTCAAGACACCACAAAGTCACCAAGCAGGGTGAGGGAGGAATGGCAAAATACAGCCATGTGGCATTAGAGAGATATCTGAGGCTGAAGGTGTGTGTTTATGATATAGCTGAGATGAGCTAACTTCAAATTGTTGCCAAGAAGGGAGCTCCTTCTCTCCTCCATCTGCTCTCCCCGCACCAGCACTTCTCAGATTACCCAGAGAGCTGATGCAAGGACATAAGCCCACAAAGCACTAACCTAAACTCTGATGTCTTCACTCCCTGAACTAGTTCAGTGTCAGGGCAAATATGCACCAAGGACCATACAAGATTAGTCACAGGACTACCTCTTCCAGTGGAAGGCTACAGTAAGACTGGCTGATAAATACTGCAAAGCTATGCCTTGACTGAAAAGATAAAGTTGAAGTGCTGGTTAACAAATTGTGCAAAACTACAAGATATAGGAATCAGAAAGCCAGAGTAGCATGTGATGGGCAGCTCTGACACAAAGCGTGCAGTCTCTTGGGAATGAACACTGGATGGAAAAAGTCTGCATTTTTGAGATAAAACACTGCCTTAACAAAAGATGGAATACAGACAAAACTTCATGTGCATTTTGTGAATTGATTCAATTGCCTAAAAATATACACAATTATAAGCATTTTCTCCTCTGACTGTAAGTAACCTAGTACCAAGCATAGGCTACCCTCTCAAATGTGACAATATAGAGCTACAGAATGTCAAGCACTCTGAAAAAGCCAGGCTTTTTTGATCTCTAACATAAAATCCAACATTAGCAAACAACACTGACTTTAAATCATGCTGTACCTATGACACCTATCTTGAAAATGGGGAAACGTAACATCACTTCACAGGAGTGTTGTGAAAATCCTATTTTTAACGTTGTGAAGCACAAAAATCCTGGAGTGGTATCAGGGGAAAGCCCATTAATAATAATAATAAATCTGCCTTTGGACTATTTTGCAAGTTTTCTGGTGCCTTAAATAAGGAAAATAAAGTATTACTCTAAAAGATTGCTTGCACATAGGTTCCATGACCATAAGAAGTCCATGAAAAAGACAAATTATCACATAACCGTACCGTAACGCAAACACAAAAAATAGGCACTTTTTTTTTTACTACCTGACCAATCTCAGTGTTTCCTAAGATAAAGGAGTCTTAACTATTTCAGATGTGTAAGTTCTGAATTTATTCAGAATTTCCCAAAAGCTTTCCATTTTATGGGCTGAAGCATCAAAAAAGCATATTCTGTAAAAACACAACCACCACTATCGCTGCTCTTCCCTTGATAAACAAGTTAGCCAAAAAAGATTTGTATAGCAAAATTTCAGTTTTCATCAAGTATATCATAAAACATTCCATACATTCAGGTTACGTTTTCCTAAGTTTACTAAAAGCAAACAATTTCTCTTCTGCAGAGGACTTGCAAATTGCTTAGCTTATTTCTGGTAAGTGTTTACAAGGACAAAGGAAAGTATGAATAACAGTATTTTATTACCGTTTGTGAGTTTTGAGAGTTGCCTTGGAATCCTTTAGGTTTCTCCCACTGTGATTCTTAAAAAACAAAAACATGTTTCACACATCATTCAATCCTGTTTATATTTAATAATATTTAGAAAAAACAGATCTAAAGGGTATGACACTGATGTATGCACATGTACAAACAAGTAATACAGATATACCTCACTGGAATATAAAAATCATCCTTGATCAAACTAAGGTAGGAACAATAAATCAATGTATCATAATTACAGTTGGCTTTAGCGGGACTAACCATCTTCCAGACTCTATTAAACTACAGCTGATACACAGATACTGGAATTTTGGTACAAAAAAGGTGTTTGTTTTTTAAATGGTAGCATAGGCCAGAGGAAACTAAACACACAAGATTTTTATCTTTTGGAAGTTATCTTGTATGAGGAAAGACTACCGTAATTACTAATGTCAATCCTTAAACTTATAAGAAACAGTTCGTAACAATCTCATTAATCATAAAAGAGGGTTGCTTTTATGCTCTAAAGTAGATCATAACACATAGCTCCTCAACAGAAGTCAGTCAGTTAGATAAATCCTGTAAATGTGGAAAGAAACAATCAGACAGCAATCCGTAACTGCTCTCATTTACTTGGGCACAATCAATTTATTTCACATTCCTGATAAGAAAGCTTCTTTAGGAAGAACACAGCTATCTTTTGTATACTTAACCTCTGAAAGGCTAAACATTTCCAGAAACTGTGGAATTACTGCATTCTCCCATTATTAACAGACATCAAAACCAGTCTAAAGTTCTGGATGCCTAAGCCTTGAACGTTAAATATCAAAACTCCATCTAATTGTTCACATTTTAATAATCAGCTCACTACTGAGAGAGCAGAAGAGTAAAGAAATGCAGGTAGTCTTTTCTCACTTATATCCAATAACTATATCTGCATTTGCTCCTCATTAGTTTTTACCTCCTGTTTTTGTGTTGTAGTAATATGTATAGCCTTCGGGAGAAAATCCTTGCACCCACTCCTTTGTTTCAATTTTTGGCGGCATTGAGGTGTCCTGAGGTGTCTTTTTCTTCTTTTCTTTCTTTTCCTTCTTTTCCTTCTTCTCTTTCTTTTCTTTCTTTTCTTGCTTTCCTTTAGTTTCCACTGTGGTACTCTGTGTTTTACTCTGTGTCGAACTGGGACCTACATCATCTTAAAGAAAATAATACTGTCTTTTAAAAAAAGAGTAATAATCTGAGCTTAAACATTAGTCACTCCTGAGCAACAGCAAACAGAAAATTTTGTTCTTAAGAGTACTTTCACTCATTAGTATTATGGTCATAGCAGCTAAACTTAAAAGATTATATTCAAAGAATCTTGCATTGTAGCAATACGATAGTGTCATAAGAAAGTCCAAATATCAAAAGATGAGTAACATAAAGAGAAAAACCGTAAGGACCAATGAGCTCTAACTAAACAACAAAAAAGAAACTAAGAGAGTTATGAAAAAGATAGCTTCTAAAGGAGCTTGAAACTACAAATTTTTTTAAAAGGATAATGCCTTTACATGGACAGAACAAAGGTACTTGCTGAACTGCAAGCTGAGTAGGAGATTCTCATCTCCACTGTTTGACACCAGTGGGAACCCAACCTCTCCTACTCAATAGGAACTTTGTCTCCAACCGGCAAAAATGAAACATAAAATTAACTAAGGGAAGCGGCACTGCTGATTCAAAGCACCAACTACAGCCTATTTTTTGTTACCATATTGTTTCATTTTTCTACTCCAAATTGGATTGTTCCATGGACCAGAGGACACCGTAGCTAAAAACATTCCGTACTGCAATTTCTACTACTGGCAATTTGCAGACTCCTTTTTTTTTTTTTTAATGAGCAAACACAGTCCTGGAGGCCTCCTCTCATGTTCCTAAAACCTAATTTAAGAAAAAACATTCCTATTCAATATTCTTTCAATTCTGTTTTTAATCCTTTGGCAGCTATATGAACTACCTGGCTTAATTCCAAGCCTTTTCAAATCCTCTTGATATGCTTTCATTGCAGCCTCCTCCATTGCTGCAAATTCTTTTGACATGTTTTCTTCTTCTTTTGCTTTGTCCAAGCTTTTCTTTTTAATCTAAAACAAAACAAAAAACCCAAGACCATAAATTAAACAAGTCTGATAATGAAAGAGATTAAAAATAAGTATTTGTGCAAATAAGGTATTTGAGTTACCTCACTAATTCTTTTTGCCACATTTTCTTTATGATTCTTTCCTCTTTCATGAAACTCAATGCTCTTAAAAGTGAGAAAAAACAAGAAAAATAATATGTATTATACAATTCTAATTTAGTTAATTTTAGTTAGTTAAAATTTAGTTAGACTAAACTGAGTTGAACAAGCCTAAATGTAACCTGTTCTGAAACACTTTCAGCAAACACTATAGCTATAAAATGGCTACAGGAATTCAGGAACACTGAGAAACACTCAACATAGAAATTATGAAAAATCAGTAACACTCAGTAACACTCCAAAATGGTATAATAAAATTTCATAGCCTGTATGTATAAGATTTAAAATTTTTCAAATAATACTGTTCAGCACACAGATTAGACAAGTAACAGGGAATCTGGGCTCCCTCTCCATGCTATCCTTCCAAGTATCATCCCTTGATTTTTTTTTTTTACCCTCTCTGTTTTCATGCAAACTTTTAAAAACCATATGGCTTATTTAGAGTCCCAAATATTAGCTATGGTCCTTAATTAGATTATGCTGTGCTCCACAAATATCCCATGAACTTAAACTAGTCTGCAGGTCCACAAATCTGAGAGAGAGAGAGGAAAAGGCAAGGTGGGAGAGTTGGGTAACTGAGGACAACAGAATAGTCTGCAAGCCAAAAAGCTGCCAGAAAGACTGAAGCCAGTAGGAACTGGAAGGAGTTCAGAAGCTCTACAGGTACAACAGTGGAAGGCCTCATGTGGTTCTCACAAAAAATATCTGAGCTTGTTTAGGCGTTCAAATGTTAGGTGCCTAAGCCTGACCTAGTAACCCTAGAATTTCTTTGCACAAACCGATGTGCAGAGGATGCACATCCAGGGGATGATTCATCTCATTTAAAGACAGGCTTTACAAGTTACCCAAATCCCCCCCTTTAATGTGTATTTCTCTTCACTGACTACAAGAAGAAACCTAAACCGATTAGCTCAGATTTGTCATTCTGAACTGCAGGTATCTAACTGTAAGCCAGATGAAGCTCAACTCCGGGAGTACCCCGGCATCGAGTCAGGAATGCAAAACTTAGTCTAAGTAAGAAACCAATGGGTCCAGTAGTCTACAAAAGGCATCTGCAAGTTACCTTTCTGTAACACAGTAATGTTTCTATGGGCTGTGTGAAATGAAAGAAACCTGCTTTAAACGCTTAGAGCGCTGGCTGTACCAGGCCTCCCTAACAGCACATATGCCAGGTTTTGCTTTCTACTTGCATACAGGTGCGGACAAAGTTTCAAGACAGATCAAATGTGAAGTTACAGAACCTGAAGAAAAAGCAGGGTCAGATATTTTAGTTCTTATCTGTACTGCCAAGGAGAACAGCACACACCATCTTGTATGCAGTATCTGGCTCTCACGTAATATATTTTAAATATCACAAGTCTTACAAAGGCATTTTTAAACCACAAATTTCATGCATCAAGAGATTAGTATCAAAAGTGATGTTAAAAGCCTGTAATTCAAATTCCTAGTATTTCAGAATCATTGACATAGTACAGTAGACCATCGTACAGGTCTGTTGTCTGCTATCCAGCACTTGCAGTAATCGCAGAATTTTTTTGGCTGAGATTTCCAGTAATCGGCCCTAGGGAGAGAAAAAAAAAAAAGATGTATCATCTGAAACAATAATCAAAGCCACAGGGTGGTTTTTTTTTTTTTTTTATATCTATATCTATATTTATCTTTTTTCAGAAACTACATTTAGTCTTCTTTGGGTGATCGAGTGCTAAGAGTTTGCTTTTCTTTCTTTTTTTTGTTTCAAACAAAGTGTGGGGAGCAAGCAAGAGTAGCTATATTGACTACTGTGTCCCATAAAGCACAGTTCAGTATTGGGATTGTGCCCATCTGACCCCTGAAGACTGCAAAATGTTTACAATGGAGGTGATGCTGTAAGAACTAGAAATACAAGACAAAGCAAGCCGGAGATAAACAAGCAGCTCCAGATACCGTTATTAAACACAGAACTGTCAGAAAAGTGCAACTTGCACTATTCTTCATAAAAATGCATACAATAAATGTTTCTAAGTGTAAAACTTCAGATTTAATGTCAAAGTCTACTTTGGATACTGTATGCAATGAGCTTAGCAACACAAAGGTGCAGTTCTGGACCATGTGAGCTACTGTGGGGAATCCTAGAACAGATTCTGACCTGTGGGGTCACAGACACAGCAGTAAATTGTTCGGATGTTTCACTGTAAAAACGTGAGTATTTCTGAACCATGCAATTTAGATAAGTTGCATATGTGCGAGGAATCTTGGGGAAAACTCTTTGGAGCTCAAAAGTTAGTACATAACAGTATTTAACAATAAAACAAACAACCCCTCCAATGGCTGTTTCTTCATCAAAAAACGCTTTCTAATGCCAGATGAGGCTTGTGCAGAAGTAATTCCATTTCTTGTTGGCTTGCAGCAACAGATGCAATGCTTTGGTTCAACAGAACACATTCCAGCAACAGACTTCTATGTTTTTAAGTTAAAATGAAAAAGAATGAGGGACGAAAACAAAACCAATTCAAGATTACACTAAGAACATTAGAAAAAGATCAGTCCAAAAAATGAATCTTTGCCTTCCGTCTGAAGATCAAAGTACAGAGTTCAAGGAAAATACTTCCTGACATTTTTATTCAATAAAACCAAAACTTCTTCCATGCATAACGACAGCACCCTCAAACCTTATGATATGTGCGAGCAGGTCTTTCGTAACAGAAACAGACCTGATTGACTCAACTCTTAAAATTTAAGCAGATACCAAAATGCGCTCTCCTACCAGTGCTTAATGTAAAAATACAATTTCTAAGAGGCTACGATTCTTTAAAAGTGTAAGTATGAAGGATATGCTCTGCAAAAATACATCCACCTATAAGCAGTACTGTGTTAGCAACATGCAGCTTTTCAAGCAATTTTCTGGAAAGGTAGAAAGAAGCAGCTGGGCTTCCCCCTGTTTAAACAGAAATCTGCTCATCCCTAAATGGTGTACTTTAAAACTGGGTGATTACTTAGTCACACATTTAATTAAAAGGCTTTTGAGATTTATATATCAGAACGTGCTAGGGCCAAAGCCTGGGAAATCAAACACTCCGGCTGGAAAACCAGCTGAGTGGGAGGGAGAAATTCAGAGCTCAGAAATACCTTGAGGCCCTTTTTCCTATTTGAGCTACAGTTCCTAAATTGTCTCTAAGTCCTTCGACATCCTCTAAGAAAAATCTCCAGCTAAAAGCTGGGTTAACCTTCCTAAGGCAATGGACCAATTCTGACAGAAAACACATAAATTGTAAGAGAGCCTCACTGCATCTTTCAGAGGTGCGAGAACATCTGTGTATTTCCAAGTTTAACCTAACGGGGCTGGCTCTTTCTCTTCAACAGAATCAAGTGCAAGTGCTAAAATTATGACTGTACAGCTGCACCCACCAAAAGTCAAGACCTGAGAGTGCGATGAGCTGTATTTTCACAGCTATATTTTCCACTGATTTCTTTCCTAAACGCTACTGGACATCACATCTGTCGCAAGCCACTGTAGCTACACACAGACTAATCGTGCTGGAGAACCTGAGGGCACACCTGGGGCTTAAGTACAAATCCAGGTCTTGACGACAGAAGCCTTTTGTCTTATCTCCTATCGGTTTTGATAAAGATTAGAGCTGGCTTTCTGTTGTTACATATAAAATAAATGTTGTGCAGAAGACCTGATATCCTGGGAACCTTAAATCCTGCATTTCATGATTAATGAAGTTAATTGTGTAAATTACGGTCCTGATTCTGTGACTTATGAGCATGAGGAGTGTTATACGCTGAGCAATTCTCTTAAAGATTTTCCACTTGAGTTCATACCACTCAAAAAAAGAGTAAGCTCAGCTGAAATATCCCCCAAATAACATCTGCCATTGTAACAATGATGGAGCCTGCAAAGCACAACGGTGCTGCAATGAGAGCAAACCAAAGAGGAGTGTTTGGAAAGGAGCAGCAACTGAAGCGAGACCCCACTTCAGTGAGATGCAAGTGCTTCACAGGCTCCGGTCACAAGCCTGAAAGTTAATCCAGATCGATGACAATGTTTAAGTATGTAATTATTTTATTAATCTGCCAAATACAGGTTTGAGAGTAAATGCTGTTAAAGTGGTACAGAGGTCTTTCATACTTCAATAATTGTGTACAAATCAAGGGAAACATAGTTATTTTAAAAAGTCATTGCAGTCAAAACGGTACAGGTTTTAAGACTCCTTATCTTCTGTCTGCACGTACATCAGTAAAGTTAAGGTTGATTCTTGTTCTTAGCTTTACAGCTGGGCCAACCTGCTAAGGACCAGAAAAGCTGACCAGCTAGCCATCACCACCACAACTACCTTTCTTCCCTTCACTGAAAAGAAGAGACAGTCCAGAGTGCATCAAGTCTGGCTTGTCCAGGTTTGCAGGGTTGAGGTTCAGCACTGTACACATTTACCCAGGTGTGGCTATCCAAACAGGAGCTTGGCGACACAGACCCCGAGAGGTGTGCAAGTTTTACTGTGAAGCTCTACCTCCCGGGAAGGGTTCTGACAAAGTCCACTCAGAGCCCGATTTTCCAGAGCTGGCTGAGCAAGTCAGCTTGGCAACCTGCTACCGGGCACACGGGAACAGAGCGGCGCCGATACAGATGGGTACTAGGCAACTTCTGGACAAACTGCTGTAAACTTCCAGCCAGAGTTGGAAATCCTGTACTAACTTGCAAGAAATTTGTGTCTCCTAAAGAACAGTGATTTTCTTTCAACTTTTACTGGTCAAACCACTCAGGGGCAGAATGTGCAACAGTTCAGAGGGCTAAAGGGGAAGGAGGGAAAAAGAGGGAGTGAACATCAAACTGTTTCCTTGAAACTTTAATGAAATGACACACTCTTTGCTGCAAACAGCTGTAGAGTGCAAATAGCATCAATGTTAAAACCATTTTCAGACTTCTGAAATTCATTTAAAACTTCAGAGGGAGTGAGAAGATGGAGAAGAACAAGTAGCAACTCTGCATTAACAGCGCCTGCCACATTCACTGTTTCAAAAGGTATGAAAATGCTTAAACTCGGAGAGAAAACGCCATAACTCAGGTATTTTTACTTCGCATAATTCATTTCTTGAGCCATGAGAATCACACAGCCTGTGCTGCAATGGCCGGGTTACGCATGCCTACTGCACGTGAACCACGTGTTTGGGAGCACACGAAGGGGACAGGTTCTGTCAACAACATTCGGGAAGCAACCCATGGAGTAACTCCAGCAGCACGGGAGTCCAGGGTCCCGAACTGTCAACATGCGAGCTGCTTCTCCTAACAACTCACAGTATTATTAATCTTTTAACAGGTGGTGCAGTCAGCCTTCCTTATATAGGGAAGCTTAAGAAACCCTCATAAAGAAGCTATCTTCAGCTGAGACAGCTTTGCCAAATTTTACTTTGGGACTGGGCTGGAGGGTTTGGTTCTTACCACATACTGGCCAAAATTAAAAGGTGGGGGGGAAGGGAAAAAAAACCATAAACAACTGTTTCAGGTGGTTCTGAATACAAGAAAAAAATAATTTGGCCATGCAAACAAAATCTGGAAGCATTTGCTTTGAATAGCTCTGTTCTAAAACACCAGACTTGAAATTTGGCAGGGATGCCGGGGGGTTGTATCAGGGATATATCTGTCCAAATTATAAGCCTTCAGCCTAAAAAACATCATACACATGCTCAGCAGTCTTCTTTGGTTTTAATATCTACAACCTCTGAAGACTTTATACAAAGTTAGTATCTTCCAGCTTTCTGCACGTTTGAGCACTGAACAGCTTGTGCGTACATCATCTTCTTGAATACAGATGTGTGAAGTAAGAAATACACAGATTCAAGTTCTTGACTACACAGGGAAATGAATTCAGATTAGCTATTGTGGCTGGGGGGGGGGGGGGGAGAAGGGAACAGCCACTCAACAGGACATAGTATTCAGAAATAGTAATAAATTGTATTTGGGAATACTGTGTACTTCTAAAGAGAAATAATACTTCTGTAATGTAAGCAAGTAGAAAGAACGAAAGAAAAAAATCACATCTATTTCACAATAGACCCTCCACATGGGAAGCCATTCCAGAACAGGTAATTCTAATTCAAATATCCCAGTATTGGCAAGACCTAAGAATGCAACGCTAAAATCGGTAGGGAAGGAGGCCAAAAAGGAAAGGGTTTTCATGGACCATTAAGTAGGTGCCAGTGCCATGGCCCTAACGACCCACACTCCCAAATAATTCACAGCAACTCTATTCATTCATAGTGCACTGATCCTACCCTAAAAACTCTTCTTAAATACGTGCCCTTAATATTTATTTTTAAAAAAAGGGTATTTAAAAATAAGGACTCAAGAAAAAAGCATCCCTGACACACCTAGTATACGGGGGTGTCCTTCTACCTAACCTTAGCTTGTTGATCTTCTAATATATCACAGAATATACATCTATATGCGGGCTCCTACAGAGTAGTACCAGATGGGAGTTTCACGTACATGAAACAGGGGAGTTCTGTGAACTTCCAGGTTTCGTTCTTCTGGCTTTCAATTCGATTATATTTTTGGCAATCCTTCTGTAAATTCTAATTTAC